TCCATTTGTTTTGCAATGCACTTGCAGGTACTCCTTAGGATGTTACCCAGTTATTACCGACATGTATGTCACTGTGAGAATTCGTTAGTGACGAGATTCTATGGTGTGCATTGTGTGAAACCAATTGGTGGTCAGAAGGTATGCAAATATTTAAGCATAAGCTTGTGTATATTACAGTAACATAACCACATGGCTTCACTTTTTATTGTAATTTCTACATATATTTGTTATTATCTGATCTTATGACACATGTATGTTGGCTGGAATCCAGGTCCGTTTCATTGTTATGGGTAATTTGTTCTGCTCTGGATATCAAATACATAGAAGATTTGATTTGAAAGGTTCTTCCCATGGCCGAACAACTGACAAGGCTGAGGGTGAGATTGATGAGACAACAACCCTTAAGGATCTCGACCTCGACTTTGTATTTCGCCTTAAAACGTCTTGGTACATAGAGCTTCTCGAGTAAGATCACATTCTAATACTAGAAATTTAATTGATTGCTTTGGTTTGTTTCAATCTCCCTTTTGTGTTCTTTGGTCTGATAGAACCTTTATCACCTTGTAGACAAATCAAGCAGGACTGCGAGTTCTTAGAAGCAGAGGGGATTATGGATTATAGTCTCCTGGTGGGAGTTCACTTCTGTGATCATCTCTCAGCTTCTAAAATAAGCCTGTCACCATTTCCGGATTTGCCAAGTAAGTCGAAGCTTGATTTTAACTGTAAACAGTTCATGAATCTGACATTGATCTAATCATAGAAATGATGATCAGAATTATATGACAAAGACTCATTTCACCGTGGAGAAGCCTGGTCTGACTTGAGCTTCTCAGCGTCAACCTGTCAAGATGATCAGATGCTGGACACACGGTATGTCTTATCATTGTTGAGTTCAATGTATGTTTTCTGATTAAAAGCTTAGTGGTGTTACATGCTCCTTGAGCAACATTAGTGATGCATGGTGTGAGAGAAAAGTGGTGCTTCCAGTTAATCTTCATTCTTGGTATGGTAGAAAACTAGATTTCAGATGCCTTCTTGTACTGCAATTTGTGCTAATTGGATGAGTGCTTTTGTAAATCCAAGTTAGCTTTTCATAGAGAACCTTGTGGTAGAGTAATTCTAGGAGTCATTGTCTGCTACCATCAGAGATAGGGGATCACTGTTTCCGAATCTTGTCCATAGAACACAGCACCAAGAACTAATTATTTATTCTCTTTTATGCTTTCATACATCTGCAATTAATTAATCATTCTGCTAACTCAACCCGTTAAAGCTGTTCCTTTGTAAACTGTCAAGTAGTCATCAGCCAATGATCTACTTCTGTTCCCGTGGATGGAGTAATTGGATCATTATAAAATTCATGGACTCTTTCCTCCTCCATCAGGCCCCACGTAGCAATTGTAAGTGGCATGATGTGGTTCTCATCATGATGTAGCTCCACTGTCATCTAGTTGGCCTACATGGGATGAATATGGCATCATTTGAGTCCTAGGTGTGCTTCATGTGTAGCAAAAGGAGAGAACATGATCTCTTAATTATCTTCTGTAGAATGATTACATTTCCTGTTTCAAGGACAATTGTTCCTGTTGTTGTAATGTTTCTCTTGATCATATCTTCTATATCGAAATTTCTTTGCAATGAACAGGAAACCATCGATCCGTCTGGGTGCAAACATGCCTGCAAGAGCAGAGCGCATTACAAGAACAGAGTCCGAGCCATTTCTTGTAGCTGGTGGTGGGTTGTCGACGCCAACACGAAGTGGTGAGCTCCATGATGTGCTGCTCTGCTTCGGTATAATCGATATCCTCCAGGACTACGACATCACTAAAAAATTGGAGCATGCCTACAAATCGCTGCATGTCAATCCCAATTCCATCTCGGCGGTGGACCCCAAGCTCTACTCGAGAAGGTTCCAGGATTTCATTGGCAGAATCTTTGTGGAAGATGATTAACATAAGCTATCATTGCACAGAGGATTGCTGCAGCAGTGGGAGCAACATGCATCAAATGTTAATACATATGTGCAGCTTGGAGTTGCATTGTGTGATTATATAGGCAATTTTATGGTTGCTAAAGTCGATGGCCGAGGCTGAATTTTGAAGCTCAGCCATGGTGAAAGATGTGTACATGGTCATTGGGGTGAGGGAGAGTTGAATTCCGTTTCTTTTTTTTACTTTACCTTTTGTTTTTAATCTTTTTTCCTTCTGATGATAGGGAGGGAGTAGAATTCTTTTACTTCCTGAAATGAAGGAATCTCTAAGCAAGCTTTTGTTAGGGGCATAGAATAAGGTGGATGATGATGTTGATGATGTTTTTTATGAGGATAGGGAAGTAAAATACAGATATTTAATTGCACCAGCTGTTTGTGTGACTGAGACACCCCTCTCTCTCTCTCTCTCTCTCTGTTATTGTTCCTTCCTTTCCCAGTACTTAAATGGCTGGGGGGATAAGCTTTTGCAGAGGATGCAGAGAAAGCTTATGCTGCTACACTTGGTAGCTTGTGGAAGGGTTAAACCGAGGGGGCATTGGAGGTGGGAAAAAGTGTGAGGGAGAATGGCATCAAAAGGAGAGAAAAGTGCGACATGGAAGATGCGCTGCTGATCCCCTCTCCCTCTCTCTCTCTCTCTCTCTCTCTCTCTCTCTGGTTTATCTCCTTCCTTTGTTCCAAGTTCAATGTTAATTCTTCTTTTCCTCATCCTTTTGGCCTTTTGATTTCTTGGGAGGCAGCCTTGGATTGGTTTGACTAGCGAGTACCATGGACTTATCCACGTGGCTTCCTGTCGTGTCTTGTGGATGTGGGTCCTCTTTAACTGCAACTTTTGATTGGTTACTGAGCCCATCACATGATTGGGGAGCATCCGATGGTAACGAAACTATGCAAGAACTGTAAGAACACTTACCGCCACTACCGTTTTGGGATCCACCATTGGGGCAATTTTTTTTACCTTTATATTTAATTTTTATAAAATTATTTGAAGTCGCTAAATCTCATATTTTAATTTCTCGTTTCAAAATTTCTTCGTAGCACTTTTTTAATTCTCAGAAATCAAAAATAGAAATAATTATTCGTATGACTTCGCAAGCATTTTAATATCTATCTATCTATCTATTAACGAATTCACAAAAGCGTTTCTATATACTCACTCTGTCAACAAGTATCAGAGAGAGAGGGAGGCACATCGGACGTCGTGCCCTCCTCTTCCTATTCTCCCCCCTCGCTCTCTCTGTCTGCGCCTCGTTGCTCTCATGAGGTCAAAGTCTGTGTCAGGGCATGAGCCTTTCCGTACTTCCATCTCGTTTCTACTTTTGCTGCTACTATTATAACCTGATGAACTGGCCACAGTCTTCGGTCTTTAACCTATGCGGAGTACACGATGATAGAGGTCGCAATGCTTGTTTATATCAAGCAGCTGCAAGTACAGCAGCAGAAGAGAGAGAGAGAGAGAGCGCTTCTTGCGATGACGACTGTCGACGAAGCCTGCAACCTAAAGCATGTTACCGAATCCATCCATGCACCGCATCTGTATCTTTCGAGATCTCACGTACCCCATGAAACTTGTCCATGTCATTGCATTAACAAGTCCCATTGGATTAATGGAAGAGGAGGAGAAAAATGGAGGGGATGGAGCCACTACCACGTCCCTGTCTTCTCCTACTGTTGATGGCCCGGCCGGTCTGGGGCTTGTCTGCAGTGTTTGAGCAAAACACAGCAATCCAATGAATGCGGTGTTGGCGTTTGGCTATACGGCATTGGGAGCTTCCACATGCGAATATTAAGGCTTTTGCTTTATGTCAGTCTCCGCTCCATGGCTTGGATGTGAACGTGGTCAGAGACTCCCGTGGATGTTCTTAATCAGCTCCTTATCTATCCCCTCCCTCTCTCTTTCTCATCTCTTGCCGTGGATGTCACTTCTCCCTTCCCCATGGCATGCCAACAGCCAGGTTGTGAACAGGGAAGACACCACATTGGCATGGCCTATTAAATGCAAGACTAGCTTCGAGAGGAGAAGTGTGAGCAGATTAAATATGGGAGACCACCAAGTTTTCCTTCCTGCCTCGTAATTAATGGGTTTTGCTGAAACGGATGAAATCAATTAAAGGAGAAGGAGACTCGGTGGCAAGTTCTTCTTTAATGCCTTGCAGACGCCATTCACTTTCACGAGGAGGAAGCCAAAGTTGACCCACGGACACTGTTCATTCTTCCCCGATGAGAGTTGACATCATACGAAGAAGAGAGGGGAATTGTTCCCTTCCTGACTCCAGCCATCCCCATAAATCCCAGCGTTCCTTTTCGGGGAGAGGGCAGGGCGGGGGTGAATGCGCTTGCAGCTCAAAGCGGCTACAGGAACGGAACATAGCTCGTCAAGGTGTAAATGCAAACAGTATTGGCGTCGCTGCTTTCACCTTTTCCCTCACCTGCCCATTCTCGGTGCTGCAGAACCACCGACAGCGCCCGGCCATCCGGTGGCTTGCTCTTCCTCCCTACGCCTTGTGTCTGGGCCGAGTGACCCGAGCACAGGAAGAGACCTCCCCCACTTCGTCAATAAATGACATCTTTAATTTAATTCCACATATGATGTTACACAATATCTAAATTATTTTATGAAGATTTAATGTTCATACTATCATTTATTTAGATTTAATATTTAAACTCTATAATTTACGATTATCAAATCAATGAGTCTAAAATTATCTCATCACTCGAGTTTGTCAATTCACTATAGAAAATATTATAATTATAAAAAAAATGATAATTTATCATAACAATATTTTTTTTACTTGAGTTTCTAATCATGATCTAATATTAGATAACTAATCTATTAATTTTATTAAAACTAGATTATTAATTTTAAAATATTTAAATTAAAAATTAATCGTAATATATCCATCAAATCTTTATAAATCAATCGAATTAGGATTTTCACGGAACAATAATAAACAATAATTGAAAGACATGTATCTTTAGCTCAAGTAATATCAAAAACATTATTCCACAACTGCTCGTTGAAACATCATGAAACATGGTGGGATGATATAATGCTACTTAATCATCACCACAAGTCATATCTATTTTGATCCTCTGTTATAATTTGGTCTAACTGTACATTGTAGTTGTGTGCATTGGAATCTTGTACTTCGTCAAAGCATGCTATCGAGTCCAGCTCAATAAGTTAGGAGGAAATGTACCAAAAGAAATAAAATAGGAGAGTGTGGCAGTAAGATCATGTGTAGCACTGCAGTCAAGTAGATATTGGGGATGCCTGCCAGAAACATAATCATTTGCGGTAGAACAGCAATAACCCAAATCCAAGGTAGGGATTTGTTTCTCTGGAACTGCAACATTTCGATCTAAGATACTAATATAAGAGAGATAAGAGGTGCAATCCAAGGCAGAGATCCACAGGCATAGTGTTGGCTCCTTCTATGCTTTCTCATTTCTCAAGATCTGGACATGGCTTGTTGGAAGCTTGCAACAGAGTTTGGTCACCTGATGAGCACTCCCATTGTACTGCAATCCTACTTGTGAGAAGCATGAACTGGTGGCAGCTCACATGGCGTTGCAGGAACAACAAGTGCATATGTTGAAGCCGCTGCAGCATCCACCACCTCATGTAAGACATCTCTGCAGGTACCATACGCTGGAGACAGGCTCTCACACAAATCTAATGATACCTATCTGTGATGCGCTTGAACTTGTCCCTCGAACTTTGTACTCTGCAGAGCCATCGACTATTTCGCAACACTCATAAGAATGATAGTGTTTCTGCTTCCAGTCATGTTTGATACACATGAATGCTTTGTTCCCGCCTGCAACAAACAGTGGCCATTCTTTGCCTTCTATCATCTGTCTGCAGAACATGACAAAATTTAAGCAATTTCAAAGTGCTGGTAATCTCCATATAGCTTTAGAAATTCAAAAGTCAACAAAGTGGAGTGAAACTATACCAAATAAAATTTTGAGAGGGTTCGAATCAGAGTGAACCTTGCTCGCGCAGCTAAAAATGACTTATTTTGGATAGTTTTTTTAAACGTTTTTGCAGCTACAGAGATCGCGACAAGCGGTGCGAAACGTCAGCTATCTCAGCACTCTGAAATCCCTATACACTAACATTGCTGAGCATCACTGAAACAGATTTGAGTATTTTGGTGCTTCAAAGATGTCACTATTCCGATATGAAGAAAGGCCACAGTTTTATGAAAGCATACAGTGAGCCATGAAAAGAACAGGTCTGTATGCTGTATGGAAACACTCAACATGCCCAAGTATGCGAGAATGCATATGAGAAATGCAGATCTAGCAGCCTAAACCGAGTATGCTACCATTGTCAACATATTTCTTAGTTAAAACTGAGTTCATGTTGATGCCAGCAAAAGAGTTCCTGAGTTGCCTGTAGTGTATTAAAGTTAAACAGGCTTTAATTATTCTAGCATGTTACTGTATCAATATTCTAGTTGTGACTTAGCATGTTTAGATACCTGTATCCAACTAAGTTCAAGCCTCAGTAATGCATGTCAAATCAATTATGTGGACTATAAAATTGAATAAAAAAATGAATGATCAAAGTCTTAAAGATCATTGGACAGAAAGGACAGGATTGTGCTTATACAACCATACAAAGAAAATTATAGAGCCTAATTAAACATACCATGTAATTGCTTATGCAAAATCATGAGCAGAGGTCCCAATTAATTCTTAGAAGGTAAGTTTGTAATATGCCACTTATGTTGCAACTTAAGTAGCATTCCCATTTTAGTGCACGGCATCAGCTTCAGAGGATAAGGTCTCAAGTAGTGCATATATAACATATGTCTGAGGCTTAAACTTGAATAAAATCACAAGGAACAACGGTAAAAAGAACAAGAACGACACAACAATAACAACCACATATCTTGACTTTTTACAATCTGGGTTCTGCTAGATAAACCATTTCTTCTCCATTTGGCTGAAAACCTTCTCTTAGAAATGGCAATTTTCTAGAAAAGGAAATTTCAGGTCACCGCATAGGTAGACAACCCGCAGGAGATAGTGATTTAAAACAAATTGCATTGATCCGCATTACCGACTTGCCATTAGGTATGGCATCATCACTCATGCTCTTCCCATCCAAGTTTTTGGAATTCCCTTTTCCATTAAGAAAAGAAAGATCTGAGTTGTTTCTAAGGTCTGTGCAATCTTTCTTTTGAAACCAGCATAAACACCTTCGAAAAGATTGCTTCAGTAACCAGTTCAAACAGAAGAAAAATAGATTCAATTGTCTCCATTGCATTAAGGAAAGCACTCAGTGACAGTTAACTACCTTCTTCAACATAAGCATCACTGAGAATTAGATGGAAGTCAAAAGTAGCAAAAGCAAACTGGATTTGAAGTTCCTAGTTCTCTTTCACAAAATGATGTCCCCTCCGCAAATGCCTATCACATATCATGAATTTTTGGGAGCTCTACCTGTCTCAATTCAATCCATAATGATATAAGAGTCAGAGATCAGAAACTGTATATTCGATATTGTCATTTCAGTATTCAGCTTTTCATCTAAAATTAAAAAAATCTTTCACAAAATTGGAAAAGAAATTAACTCTGCTTAGTTGAGGCAATTCCACTATGCAATAAGAAAACAATTATTGTGAAGCCAAACACATACAGCGGAGGACCTCCCGCATTTCACGGTAAAGCTACAATGTATGATGAAATGTACTCATTTTAGTTGAGGCAATTCCACTATGGAATAAGAAAACAATTATTGTGAAGCCAAACACATACAGCGGAGGACCTCCCACATTTCACGGTAAAGCTATGATGTATGATGAATTGTACTCATTCCTCAAAAGCAAACATACATCAACAAGAAGATTGAAGATATCACATGACTATAATTCATATGAATAGCCAAAATTAATTGGACAAGAAAGATAACCATTCGCATATGCAAATCATAACCACATAAAAGACCACTGTGATTTGCCACTTGTATCCAGGGTCTACCTCGTCTATCATCTCATTCATTTAGAAAGAGTTGCATGTATCATTTTAATCATTTTTAGACTACAACATTCTTCCAATATCTAAAAGCAACTTCAGTCAAAGATGATCAACGTGATCTTACAATAATTGCAAAAGAAGTAAAAAGAACCAACTTAATAAGGTTACCGTTCTTGAGGAAACTAAAAGAATGGTCCAAGAGAATTATTACAGCAATGAACAAAGTTGTTCCAGAGTTCAATCTTTAAGTCCTAATTTAGTTATGCGACTGAGCTAGGGAAAGAATCTTGTGCAAACAATCAGGTTCAAGCAAAATAATTGCCAAAGGTAGTGCGCACTAAGAATCTTAACAATGAATACAGGAATCATACTTAAAGCGATTGCATGCTACGAATATTGTTCAATGTGGAAATGTATTTGCAGGTGCAAATTCAGCTACAGAAACAACTTTCTTCCCATCATAGCCAAGAAATAATTATTATAAACTAAAAAAAAAAAGATAAAATAGAATTCAGTATCTGATAATATCACCATGGTATGGTTAATATAAACATTAATCATTATTATAGAATGACACTCCCAAAGATTTGCTATGCGACAACCAAGTATTTGCTCCAAAACAATAAAGGATCACTCAGAGAAACGTTGCATAAATCTTCGATGAATCCAAAAGAATCAGTGTTCCATGATGGCTATGACAAATTTGTGAAACTAAAGTCAACAGATGGGAAAACATAAATAACATCTTAAGCCTTACCGGTGCAACTTTCAAGGTGGGGTGGAGGGGGCCTCAGTCAACTACTATAAAAGACTCAGTAGCCATGAGTTAGCAACACAAAGATTATTTTAAACGACAAAATAATTTGCAGCAAAAGTTTATCAGGGTCATGATGGCAAACGCCAACTCAGTTACATAAATATTAAGTTTTAAAGTTTTAAGAGTAGAAAATGCCAATATTATGACTCAATAATGAACCGAGTAATTCAATCACAAGTCAACCATGGTATTGGTGCATTTCATAAAGCAACAACAGAATCTGAAAAAGTTTCTCTATCACATAGTTGGATTATTAACATCCATAAGGGCCTGTAGAAATTGTTGTCAACAGAACATAACTCACCACGGTCGAAGCAATTCTAAGAGAATATGTGGTGAACAGATTACTTAACGAGCAGCTCTCTTTCTTGCCAGCAACAGCAACCTTCTTGCCCTGAGCATGCGGCAGTTATTCTCTGTTCTCTGCCCTCGACAAGGCAGCCCCATCTCATGCTTAATCTTCCTATAACACCAAATCTCCTTCAGTCTCTCAATCGTTAGCCTATTGAACCCCTTCTGCTAGTTGCGATCACAAAGAGAGAGAAAAACTAAAAGAAATTACAACTTTAGCTCATTTAACCAACAAAAATCAAACCAACGGCCCAAAAAGAGAAGAGCTTCGCATCCGAACCTGGTAAACCCCGCAATTTGGTGGTTCGAATGAGGTGAAACCCGCACTGAGGACACCATCAAAATCGCAACTTTGACGAAAAAAAAAAACCATATCCCGAGAGAATTGAGAGTTTTGGTTTCTCACGAGGTCGCTTTCGTCATGTAATTGGAGACGTCATCCCGGAGCGCCATGAGCTCCTCGTCAGAGGGTACCTAGGCGACCTTGTTGTCCATTCACAGAGGATCCCTTGGTGTCCTGGCGCGAGAACTCCGCCAGCAAATGGATAGGGCCCCTCGGTGCTACGACTGCGGCCAACGAGATCGGAGTTTTGGGTCAGCGAGAGGAGAGTGTGACGATAGAGAAAAGGAGGAAAGAGGTAATAACTCTAAGGCAGGAGAGGAAGTCGGGAAGGACGGTGAGCTTGGGAGCGAGAAGGATGAACCTCTACTCACGCTGCAGAAAGGAGGGCGAGAGAGGCAAAGCAGAGACGACGCCATGGAGAGGTCGGCCGTTTCCTTCCTCGTTTCGGCTATAACCGTCATTGAACAGGTGACGTCTATATTAATATTCGACAAAAATTAAACCTGAAAACTTCGTTGGAACTTGGAATACTGCATTTTTTTTAGTTTAAATCCAATTTAAATTCGGTTAAAAACATATAATCCAATTTAAATTAAAAATGCAACCCGTTTTGACACATCCAATCGATTTAGAGCACGTGTACTCACTACTCGTACATCATGCGGTTCTCACCCCCAAAAGAAGAGGGCACACATGGATCCCGACCCCCGTAATCTCGACGCAAAAGCGGCGAACGCCACAGCCGTTGCGGCGAGCTGCCACGTGGTGGTGGTTCCCTACCCGGGCCGCGGCCACATCAACCCCATGATGTGTCTGTGCCACCTCCTCGCGGCCCACGGGGCCGTCGTCACCTTCGTTGTCACCGAGGAGTGGCTTGCCCTCCTCCACGCCGCCGACGCCGTCCCGCCGCCTGCCGCCGTCCGCCTCCGCACCATACCTAACGTCATCCCTTCCGAGGCGGGCCGCGGCGCCGACTTCCCTAGCTTCCTCGAGGCCGTCTATACCAAGATGGGCGACCCCTTCGAGCGCCTCCTCGACGAGCTGGATCTCCCGCCGGCCGCGATCATCGCCGACTCGTACCTGTCGTGGGCGGTGGCTGCCGGCAACCGCAGGGGCATCCCGGTGGCCTTGCTGGTCACCATATCCCCCGCCGCCTTCTCCGTTCTCTACCACTTCGACCGCATCCCTAGTCATCTGCTGTCTCTGGTGGCTGTGTCCGACCACGTCGCAGGTCTTCTCGCTCATTTCCCTATGTTTTTTTTTCTTTAATCTTTATTTCTATACCTTCTTCTGATGCTGCACTTTGAGAGAGAATTTTAGAAAGGGTAACTGAATTCCTACCAGTCTTAAGCTTTTGGGGCAATTATTGACTCCAATTATTTAGAATCATGCAACAATCTTGTGACTTTTTTAGAATTCTTGCATCTCAGTTGGGTATGTTAAATATAGATAACAAAAGTTGATAATTGAGATGGGTTTTTGCTTAATTATAAACCTATGCGGTACTTCTTAACCATAATTATTATTTCTGGCAGAATGAAATCCAATTAATAGATTTGAAAATAACCCTTAAATAAAAGATAAAGGTAAGTTCAATAACATTGTTTGGAGTACCACAAACATCAAAATCCATGTAGCAAATTATACTATCAAATTTAAACTAGCGTAATCTCAAGAAAAGGAGTTTCCTGAGCAAACCTGCTCATTAACCACTCATTGAGATCTAAAAATTTGTAAATAATTAACGTAATGATGCTTAGCATGATGGGACAAGTATATTTGATTGTTCATTACCCAAAAATGTGAAATTTGGTCTCTTAGAAGTTTCTTATTGAGGAGACCCTAATCGATTGTCTGCCCGAGGAGGAGAATTGAAGCCAACATTGACGAAGCATGTTCCAAGTAGGCGGTGGAAATTCTCCAAGGTGGACTCGTGGAGCTGAAACCATAGGGTCCTGCAAGAATAGATGGAATTGGAAATACGGTAATTGGGAGCAACGAAAAAATGTGGATACCCTTACCTTTGAATTAAATCCTTTTTATGGTATGGAGATTTTAAACAGCTTGGTTAAAAAAAAAAACCCAATGCTGATGTGGCAGGTGAACTGATAGGTCACTGTGGAATTTCTTAAGAGTCCAATGTGTGGTTCTGTCCATGTGTCAATCTTTTATTGGTGATACCATGGTTTGCAGTACCGGGGTACGGGCGGTACGTACCGGTCCGACAGGCTTCCGGTACGCGGACTGCCGGTTACCGGTCCGGTACTGTAGCAGCACTGTAGCACTGTAGCACTGCTACAATGCTCGGAACGCCTGCATATACCGCTCGGTACACCTGGGTGTACCGAGCGGTATACCGTACCGGTACCGAGCCTAGGTCGAAACTCCGGTACGGTACGGTATTGCGAACCTTGGGTGATACTAATGGTGACTCTTGATTTTTTATGAAATAAAGTCATGACAATCCCTAAAATTCTTCGTTGTTCGTGGCTCAAAATTGTGGCAATCACTCCCTTGAAGCAATGATCAGCTGCAGCTTAAAACTACCCACATCAACGTAGTGCAAGAAATGCATTTTAATGTATATAATCTAGTCTGTACCACAGACTCTCATCAGCTTAGTCAAGATCAACCTTGAAGAGTAGGGGTTTTGTTGTGGGTGAAATTTGATTAATCACATTGTGCCTATCCAGGTATTATATTTTAACAACCCCAATTTAGTCTGACATCACCCGTTGGAAGCGGACTAAGAGTTACTTATAAGGATCATGCAACTATTAACCTATTAACTTGAACGTAAGCACTGGGCCAGTGTTCAGGTTCAACAAACTTAATAAGTTAGTCTTCTACCATTTTCGCTTTCCTATTTTGAAATCGTCAATATGATCATTCGCTGCCTCCAAGGAGATTGGCAGGAAATGCATAAGACCCCTAGAAGCCTAGTGTAAGGGGGTATGCATGCATTATTTATAAGACATTATCATATGCCTGCTGGACTCATTTCTCTCTTTTCAAAATCTCTCTCTGAAAACCAATTTGTAGTTTGATCATAAGATGGAACCACACCATGTGCTTGCAAATTGTGGCGTTTCTTTTAATTCTCTTTTAGTAGGTTGCCATACCATCAACAAAATCTGTATTCAGTCGCATGATTCATAGAACAAAGCTAGGGCCTTCTTGAGGTTCCAGCCAATTTTAAGTTTGAGGAGAGTTAATAAATAGTCTTATAGAGAGGTTGTTTTGGTGACTCCAATCCTGATTGCTTGCAAAAGAACAATTGTACTATTTTATCAAGGCTCATCCTACCAAAAAGACTAATTCAATTATACCTTTCTTTAAAATAGATCCATAGTATAGTACAGAACTTCATGCTTCCGTTATGCCAAAAGAGTAATTTTTTTCTTCTGTTTCATTTTATATGAAGGTAAAACACGATTCAGTTTAAAAGTTCAATTTGCACATAAGAATCTGGACTGAAATAATATCAAGTTTGTGCTTTCAGTGATTTGTTTATTTGTTGCTCGTTTTAATTCATCTTGCATATGTGCATAGGATCAAAAAGAATATTTTGGTCTGACACTTACAGCATACTTGTGATATTTGTAACTTCTACTCAGGAGAAGAGTTTTTGGGACAGTGGGTTCCTGGCCTAATTTCATTTAGATTAGCTGATGTCAAGTCCATCTCAATGGCGACGACACTAAAAAGAGCATTGGAGTCTGTCTATTGGGTTCTAAAAGCACAAATCATTCTCTTCACTTCATTTTATGAGCTCGGGCCTCGTGTAATTGACTCGCTACGATCAGAGCTCTCATGCCCTGTGTATTCTGTGGGCCCTTGTATTCCTTACATGATGCCGCAAGTGAACAAGTCAATTCCATGCAGTGGCAACGATGTCGACTACTTCAGTTGGCTCGATTCCCAGAAGGAGCGATCCGTACTTTATGTCTCGTTGGGCAGTTTCCTCTCAGTCCTGGAATCTCAGATGGAAGAGATTGCAATGGGCTTACGTGCCAGTGAAACCAAGTTTCTGTGGGTTGCTCTTGGCAACTCTCCAAGAATGCAGGAGGTATGTGGTAAATCGGGCTTTGTCGTGCCATGGTGTGACCAGTTAAGGGTCTTGCATCATCCGTCGGTTGGAGGATTCTTGACTCATTGTGGGTGGAATTCAATACTAGAAGCCATATTTGCAGGGGTTCCAATGCTCACTTTCCCCATAGCGTGGGATCAACCACTTAATAGCCGACTTGTAGTCGATGAATGGAAGATTGGTCTCAGTTTGAAGGAAGAGTTGCGGAAAGACAACATTGTTGGAAGAGATAATGTTGCCATGCTTGTCAAGAGACTCATGGACTCGGACGGTGGCGTCGAGGGTAAAGAGATGAGGAGAAGAGCAAGAGAACTGCAGACGGCTTCTCTTAAAGCGATCGAGGAAGGTGGTTCATCACACGGTAGCATCATTTCTTTTCTAAAAGGACTTAAGCAGTGCAAAAACTGAATAATATATATTCTGCTTTGTAAGACTATTTACGGAAATATTGCTCTTAGGTTGTGATTTGTCTTTCTAAAACCTAAGGCCAAGGACTTCACTTGAGGATGATGCATGTCAGCTATGAATGTGCTAGGTGTGTTGAATTGCTACACATGTGCATCAGCTATGACTTGTATCAAACTTCTGTTTATGCATTCTCTGTATCTGCCAACATTGAATGGTAACGTTTGTCGGATTGATGACTCTTTTGAGTTTTCGATTCCAGCTTGATTGGTTTTATTCTTCCGCCATACGACATGATATAAACGATCAAAATGTGCGGAGTCTATTTAGCAGCCTTAGCCAAAGCACGTCTGCATGTGGTCCTCCCAGTAAAAAATATCGTACGTACAATAGGGCAAACGCCATGCCCAATGTGTGGCCTTCACCAGCTTCACTCATTTTGTGCCTTTTCTCTCGCTCTCACCTCTCTCAACCCACACATTAAGCGGCGCAGGGGAGAATGACACAGTCCATGGCGGCCGCCTCGTCGACCTGCCACCTGGTGGCGGTTCCCTACCCGGGCCGCGGCCACGTCAACCCCATGATGTGCCTGTGCCGCCTCCTCGCCGCCCACGGCGCCCTCGTCACCTTCGTCGTCACCGAGGAGTGGCTCGCCCTCCTCCGCGCCGCACCCGCCCCGCCGCCGGCCACCGCAATCCGCCTCCGCACCATCCCCAACGTCATCCCCTCCGAGTCGGGCCGCGCCGCCGACTTCCCCGGGTTCCTCGACGCCGTGTTCACCAGGATGGGCGACCCCTTCGAGCGCCTCCTCGACGAGCTGGAGCCCGCACCGGCCGCCATCGTGGCCGACTCGTACCTGCCCTGGGCCGTGGCGATCGGCAACCGCAGGGGCATCCCGGTGGCCTCGCTGTTCACCATGTCCGCCGCCTTCTTCTCCGTTTTCTACCAAGTGGACCGCGTCCCTGGCCTGCTGCGGCCTCAGGCAGCCGTGCCTGACCACGCAATAGGTCCGCTTTCTATTTCTTGGGCACATTATCTTCTTCCGATGATGCAACACTCGTAGAAATAATGTTAGAAAGATCAATTGTTCTCCATAGCAATCTAATTTATCGTGGCAGGTTGTGCTTTCAGCAATTATCTTGAATTCCATCAGCTCTTCTGTAAGCATTACTGATTCAAGTCTCATCTGTTTGCTGCTTCTCTTACTTCTTCTAGCATGCGTGTATAGGATAAAAAAGAGTACTTTGGTCTGATACTTGTGGCATCGTGTTGATACTTGTGACTTCCACTCAGGAGGAGATCTTTTGGCGCAATGGATTCCTGGCCTAACTTCTCTTAGATCAGCAGACTTCATGCCCTTAATTCGAATGAAGAAGCCAACCGAGAGAGTGTTGGAGACCTTCTCCTGGATTCCAAAGGCACAAACTGTACTCTTCACTACCTTCTACGAGCTCGAGCCTCGTGTACTTGACTCACTTCGATCAGAGCTCTCATGCCCTGTGTACTCTGTCGGACCCTGTATTCCTTACATGCTGCCACAAGTGAACGGCTCAATTCCATGCAGTGGCAATGAGGACGACTACTTCAGCTGGCTCGATTCCCAGATGGAACGATCTGTGCTTTATGTCTCATTGGGCAGCTTCCTCTCTGTCTCAAAGTCACAGATGGAAGAGATAGCAATGGGCCTCTGTGCCAGCCAACCCAAGTTCCTGTGGGTTGCTCGTGATGACTCTCTCAGAATTCAGCAGATGTGTGCTAGATCGGGCCTCGTGGTGCCATGGTGCGACCAGCTGAGGGTCCTGCATCATCCTTCAGTTGGAGGATTCCTGACTCACTGTGGGTGGAATTCAACTCTGGAAGCTGTGTTTGCAGGGGTTCCAATGCTCACCTTCCCCCTACTATGGGATCAAATAGCTAATAGCCGACTTGTTGTAGAAGAATGGAAGGTTGGTCTCAGTTTGAAGGAAAAGTTGGGCGAAGATACCGTTATTGGAAGAGATGACATCGCCATGTTTGTCAAGAGACTAATGGATTCCAATGGCCTTGAGAGTAGAGAGATGAGGAGAAGAGCCACGGAACTCCGAATGGCTTCTCTTAAAGCAATTGAGGAAGGTGGTTCTTCCTACACTGGCATCATTTCCTTCCTCCATGGCCTTATGAAGTGTGATGATTGATCAGGAGGTTAGTCTGATAGCAGCTGATGTTGTGCTTTGTAAGACCAATAGCAGAAACATTGATTGATGTGCAATGACTTCATTTGAGGGTTTTCCAATGACAAGTATTAGCTAAAATCTCAGGTCTTAGGCTGTGATAACAACTCTGTGACTTCTCTTGTTTGTGTTCTGACTTTGTTGAGGATGATCCACTTGCAGTCTTGAGGTGATAAAGACTTCTCTTGTTTGTGTTCTGACTTTGTTGAGGATGATCCTCTTTCAGTCTTGAGGTGCTTGGTCTATTGATTTGTTACTTAACAACCTAAAATCTAAAGACAGAAGAATCCATCATAAATCTTAATGAGGGAGAGAGTATTATTTCTTTAAGTATCTTTGACCTATGTTTATTGGTTCATAAAGCAGCCTTACAATTCTGATTACTGCAACTCTAGTAGAATGGACACCTTTATCTAACAGCATGTACATGGGCATGCGACGAGGGAGTCCACCGACGACTGGTGTCCGATGAGCCACCGGATGTGGAGGAAGTCGTCCTCGGAACAAGGAAGCCTCAGTGGGCCTGCCGAACGGTGATCATAGGTCTTGAGCCTTACCAAGGAGATCAGCGAGGAGTGGATGATTAAGACGAGATACAGGTTTCATCAACTTCCGGGACCCACCGTCTTCTTCTTCCTCGAGCCCCACTTGCTCTGCTAACCTTCCCTTCTTCACATCAATCTTCTTGTAAGAGTAGCAGGAAAGAGTCGTAGGATGAAAGAAAAGGAAACAAACGAGCACGAAGGATATATAGCCTCATGGTGGTGTGTACGTTGGCTGGATTCATATTACTGTAGAAACCGAGTTCCAGATTACTGTTGCTGAGTTCAATCCTCACTGAAGCACTGGAGATTGGCGAAGCTAATGGTAGTGCCATTTCATGGCATCGTTCTTCTTCTAACTTAAACTTGGAGATGCTGAAGCGAGTTGAGATAAGCCTTGGAAAACTTCGCCTTTCGAGGGAGAACTACTGACACACCATCCTCTCCTCTGCCTTAGATGTCTTCTTTCCCTTACTCAACACGATGCAGAACATCCAGTAAACTCACCATGCGCTTCATGAGGCAGTCTCATGATTCAGCATGATTCGTATCAGGTGATTTCACTGCAAATGGGTAAAAATCGAACCTGCATCATCTATTTCATCGATTGAAGGTCTGTAGCAACAAAGCTGTTTCTGCTGTTGGAGCGTAAGATCCCATCAATTGGTAGACGTTTGTATCTCCATCTATTCTCACTGCAGAGCAAAATGGACGTGATGTCTAATCCCTTCCCTCTGCATACAGTAAGCATGATAAATATAATATCTTTTTTGGTCCCTAGTGAAGTTACTATGGAGGCATTATCATCAAAATCAGACAAGTCAACTTCATCTTTAAGATCATGCACCATTTGATTTAAGATCAACATGTGTTTGATAATGGTTGGGCTGCTTGTGCAAAGCTATATTGGTGCTTCTAACACCCACAACATGCTTTCCGAATGCCAGTAATTTCTAATGAGATGTTGCAAATATGTAGCAGTAGATGTAGTACTGCTACATCTATGTGCAGTGTTTACTCATCTCTGTTCTGATGCTTATGGAATGCTTCTCTTTTGTAATGTCTTCTAAATCTGCTTCATTGCAGCTGCACAAAATGCTTGCTCAAACCATCAACTTTGGGTGGATAACAGCAGAATCATCTTCTTGATTACAAGTTGTGTTTTGAGCTAGCTTTTCTGCTGCTCTACGTGGCTTGAGTTGGAAACACAGGGATTTCATGCTTTGCCTGTCACATCAGGTTTGATTCAGTTGATGGATCGCCTTCACGTCGTGTCTACTTTTTCCTAGCAGATCGACGAATGGATAGTATATTATTCGATGGAATTGTGGCTGTAACATCTCAAGGGAGAAACTTGGAATGTCATGCAATTGTTCTGTGCTAATGGTGGTCATGACCCCAATTTGGCAGGAGGTTCCAAGCTTTTGAACTCTTTCAATTTGGTAGAATATTATATGGGCATGAAAGCAGATTGAGATATGTTCCATGCAACTTCTCCTAAGCCTCGCTGATTCTCCATGACCTCTGCTCTCTGTCTTCAGATTCTTGTTCTGATGGCACATTGCTGGCAGGCTTAACTTTCATCCTCGTGTTGTCGTTCATCTTGATAACCTTCATCCTTGTTAGAAATGCAGCTGATCGTGCATGTAAAACACTACAAGTTAGTGCCATTTGGTGGAAATCAGGTTCTTCTCCTATTGACATCTCTTGTTGGCATTAAAGATAACTGATCCCCAAGGAAAAAGGAAAGATTGACATCTGATGCAGCTTCCTGTTAAGATTCTTCTTAGATAATAGAACAAAGCAGCCTGTCCTTTACAATGGCAGCACCATCACAAAATGGAGAAGGAATTCCCAGCATATGATATTGATCTTTAGGATTTTTAGTTTTCCTTCTGCAACTTCTTTCTTAAGTACTCTTCTTGGATGACAGAGAAGGTAGACCTAAAGGAAGGTTGCAAGTTTCAGTCGCTCAGATAAGCTCCAAAATCTGCAATCCGAGCTTGAGCGCACCATGGCACTCTTCCCCAACCTGCTGCCACCTATAGGTGCCCAGACCTCATCAGCAACCACTAGTGCTTGTTTCCATTAAAGTCTTTGCTTTGCGTAGTCACGTCCCAATACGCATTTTTCTATGTCAAAAGAGAGCGTCCAGTGTCCGAGCACCTCCTTCCCCATCGAACTTCTCTGTCGAGCACAAATCCTTGTTAGTGCTTGGAATACTCGTCCTCACTGTTGTTTATGGACGTGATGGAACCTCGTAAGACCTGCCGTGGCCCTCCGATGGACGAGATTCTCCTGTGTTCAACTGGGTAGGACTTGGTTCGCTACCTATATAAGGCTGCTGTGGGCTTAGAGCCTCTGCATTGTAGAGGAGAGGTGGCAGAGGTCGTGGAGGAGAAGACCATGGCTGTTGGTGGTGCTTGGAAGAGTGTGAAGCCCTACTTGGCCATGGTGTTCCTGCAGTTTGGGTACTCGGGCATGTACGTGATCTCCGTCGCCTCGCTCAAGAGCGGCATGAGCCACTACGTGCTCGTCGTGTACCGGAATGCCGTCGCGGCAGCTGTCGTCGCTCCGTTTGCTCTCTGGTTTGAACGGTCTCTCTCCATCTCTATCTCTTTCTCTCCCTCTCTCATATAAAGAAAGAATTTGATGTGCGTGAATGCATGATAAGTTTCACTCTCACACCGGTGAGGCAGCCATGGAGCAGAATGAGATCAGTCCATCTAAATGTCGATTTCTCTCTCTTGATACCAGGAAGACAAGGCCCAAGATGACACTGGCCATCTTCCTCAAGATAATGGCTCTGGCGTTCCTGGAGTACTGATCCACCCAACATCGACTGTTTCACTTACTTGGCTTCGATTCCAGTAGAATTGGCTAACGTGTCTTCATCCAGGCCGGTGCTCGACCAAAACTTCTACTACATGGGCGCCAAGAACACATCAGCAAGCTTCTCCTCTGCCCTCTTCAACGTGTTGCCTGCTGTTACTTTTGTCAATGCCGTTATCCTCAGGTGATTCTTATCGACACATCAAAGTTTTAGATCACGAAACTGCGTCTTACGCCGGCGATCCTCTGTTCGTGTCGGTAGGATGGAGAAGATCGATATCAAGAAACGACGTAGCCAGGCGAAGGTTGTCGGCACTCTGGTGACGGTGATCGGTGCACTGCTCATGATACTATACACAGGCCCAATCATCGAGTTCGTATGGACCAAGGGAAGGAGCCACCACGCCGGGGACAGCGGCCAGAACGAGAGCCACTGGCTTATCGGCACGTTCATGCTGCTGTTCAGCTGCTTCTGCTGGTCTGCTTTCTTCATCCTGCAGGTAGCAGAGGTTCCGGTTACGGTGAACTTTGAATGAACGAGAACACGTTAAGATGGCTCATCATGGTGGATTTTGATGTTACAGTCGCACACGTTGAAGTCCTATCCTGCAGAGCTCTCCCTGAGCACCTTGATATGCCTCATGGGCGCGGGACAAGGTGGAGCCCTTGCTCTTGTGATGGAGCGCAGCACCAAGCCATGGCTGATAGGATTCGACACAAGACTCTTCACCGCCGTGTACTCCGTAAGATGCTTCTCAGGATCGCATCTTCCCGTGCATTAGAAGAAGAATACGTTCGCAAGCTCTTCAGCTGTCGCCCTTCCTCTGCAGGGAATCATGTGCTCTGGAGTCGCTTACTACGTTCAAGGCATCGTGATGAAGGAGAGAGGCCCTGTCTTCGTCACAGCCTTCAACCCTCTTTGCATGATCATCACGGCCATAATGGGCTCCATTATTCTAGCGGAGGAGATCACCTTAGGAAGGTACGTAGCTACAGCGTTAACCGTCTCAATCCACCACCAACAGCTGACACCTTCTGCTGGAAATCAATCTGCAGGGTATTAGGTGCAGTCATAATAGTGATCGGCCTCTACTCCCTCATCTGGGGGAAGAGCAAAGATCACTTAACGGAGCCCTCGCAGCCGAGGGAGAAGGAAGCAGCACTCGTGAAGACGAGCCCGATCGACCACGTCGCCGTCATCGACATCCAACCTGCGAGGAATCCTTAAGGCGATGAGAGCTCCATCTGCGTCTGTACCTAGTCAACCATCAACACAATTGCTGTATGCAACTTTGTGATGCCTCCTAATGTTCGCAATGCGTGAACTATATGATATGATTGATACTTTCAATAAGCTTTGTCATCACTTGTCACTATCATGATTTGTGCACACAACTTGCATGCACTATGGGGATCATGGTTGGTGTTGGTGCCACCATCTTTTCTTTTCAGAAACTTTGTGCTTCACCTCACTGCAAGTTGTGCTTGGATGGTAGAGTGGCTACAGCACCATGCAAATGGGAATGGCGAGAGAGGAAATATATCTAGTGGCTCTAATTACCACCACTGAGCTTTGCCTTTGTCCAATTCTAATATAGGATTAAATTAAGATAATTATAATTAGTCCAAAATGCTTAAATCGAATTTATAGCAGTACATCCTCCTGGACGGACTTGGCCGACAGCAACAATCTACCTTCTAATTCAACTTCCACAAGAGAACATTCAAAGGCACACGTTTGGACGTCTCACTTGCGGGCATCTGATAGAGGAAATTAATGCAAGACGTGCTACCAGTGCCATTAAGTCCCAAAGGTCAACCCTTGATGCGTAGACGCATCTTCCTCCATTGACACACATCTCTTCGTCTCGCAGCAGGAGGACGAGGTGGTGGCGTGTGACAATGTCTTCGTCAGGGTATAACAACAGCTTGCTGCTGCATTTCCTGGTCAGCTGGGGCATCAATACATCATGACAACAGTCCACTGTACACTTTGAGGAAGACATCTTTGTCCAATAACTTAGCCTTGCCAGTCCTTCATCTTGTTTGACTTTTAAGTTTGACCACTAATCTTGGAAACACATCATATAGTGCTAAAACAGCCTCTTATTCTAAGTGCAATCGTATTTCATAACAATGCAGTCCATTGTAGGTCCTGTTGGAATCAAAATTCTATGGTTTTTGATGAGCAACCTAAACAGACTTTGGAGTCCCCGTTGCCCAAAAGTCAACCTTGACGACAAAGCTTCAATTTCTTATCATGTACAGAAATCATACATGCAAATAACGGGTGCATTATTAATGGCAAATCACATGTTTGACTGCTGATTCAGTCTTCCCACCTGCCCTCTTCCGGGCATTCACTCCCCGGTCAACGTTATTGACTGACTGTGGACTAAACACCCAGCTGAAACTTCTGATGGCCTCAGTATTCTGTCTCCTCCGACCATGGCTTCCTTCTCCTCCTCCTCTGCTCCTACTATTCTGCGGCTCTTCCTCTTACTACTCTTCTCGGTATCTGCACCTCTCCTAACCGTTGCCGGCTCTGTCGCCCACGAGTTCGTCTACCCCAACTTCACCGCCTCCTACCTCCATTTCGTCGACAACTCCGGCGTGTTCCTCTCCTCCTCCGCTTTCTCCGCTGGCTTTCACAACCCCGGTGGACAGAGCTCCCGCTACTACCTCTCCGTAATCCACGCCCCGTCCTTCACCGTCGTCTGGACCGCCAACCCCTCCGCCCCTGTCCCTCCCTCCGCCAACCTCGTCCTCGCCCCCGCCGGCCTCACCCTCTCTCTGCCTGACGGCTCTCTCGCTTGGTCCACCCCGCGCCTCGCAGCCCCTGTCGTCGCCCTCCAGCTCCTCTCTTCCGGCGAGTTCCGCCTCCTTGACGCCGCCAACGCTTCCCTCTGGTCCTCCTTCGACCACCCCACCGACACCCTCCTCCCGTCCCAGCTCCTCCCTGCCTCCGCCTCTCTCTCCTCCGCTGTCTCCGACAACGACCCCTCCCCTGGAAACTACCGCCTCCTCATCACCCCCGGCGACGCCCTCCTGCGATGGACCGCGATCTCGCAGAACTACTGGTCCCTCTCCACTGACGTCCGCTTCACCAAAGACTCCAACTTGGAGGTCGGTTACATGGCCGTAAACGCCACCGGGCTCTACCTCCTTGCCGGCGATAGGCAAACAACCGTCTTCAGGATGATCTCCCCGCCGCCGCATTCGTCGTCCCCCGACGAGTTCCGCATCGCGAAGCTAGACCCCAGCGGCAAGTTTCGGATCCTGAGCTTCGACACCGACTTCGTAGCGCCGAGCAACGACTGCGACCTCCCTTCCGTTTGTGGCTCGCTGGGCCTCTGCTTCCCCATCGCCAACAACTCCATCTGTAGATGCCCGGCCTCGTTCGGGGCTTCGCTGGCCGGCGGGTGCTCCCCGGCCGACGGCTCCATTTTGGCGAACTCCTCTTGTCCCGATGAGGACAACAGTGGCTCGGTCTCCTACATTACCTTGGGTAGCCAAATCGACTACTTTGGGACCAAATTCTCGACGCCTATCACTGCCGGAGCCAACATTTCCGCGTGCAGCGACCTCTGTTCTCGGAATTGCTCCTGTCTCGGCTTCTTCTACAATAACTCATCAAAGACGTGCTACATCCTCGAGCACCAGATAGGTTCTCTCTTCATCGCGGACAACGGCAGCGGCGACACCTCCACCGCCGGCTACATCAAGACGCTCAGTCAGCCATCGCGGCAGCCGCCTTCGAGCGGTTCTCAGTCTTTGGCCCGTCTCCTCGTCGTTTTACTGCCAACTACGGCTACAGTTCTTCTGGTGATCTCCATCTGCCTTGTATGTTACGCAATGCGGAGGAGGAACAAACGTCAAACGACTGCAGAAATTTCTAATGAAGAGGCCGGGAAGGAGGACGAGATCGCGATCCCCGGTCTGCCGACCAGGTACACCTACGCTGAGCTCGAGGCCGCCACCGATAACTTCCAGACACGGATCGGCTCCGGTGGTTTCGGCTCCGTATACAAAGGACAGCTCCAGGACAAGTCGTTCGTCGCCGTCAAAAAGATCAACGCCGTCAGCGTGCAGGGGAGGAGGGAATTCTGCACGGAGATCGCCGTCATCGGCAACATCCACCACGTCAATCTCGTGCGGCTGCGGGGGTTCTGCGCCCAGGGCCAGTCGCGGCTGCTCGTCTACGAATACATGAACCGCTTCTCGCTCGACCGCGCCCTGTTCGGCCACAGCCTGGTGCTAGAGTGGCGGGAGAGGCTCCAGATCGCCGTCGGGGCGGCGCGGGGCCTCGCATACCTCCACACAGGCTGCGAGCACAAGATCATTCATTGCGACGTGAAGCCGGAGAACATACTTCTTCATGATCACAACCAAGTGAAGATTGCGGACTTCGGATTGGCCAAGCTGATGAGCCCGGAGCAGTCGGGGCTCTTCACCACAATGAGAGGGACAAGGGGCTACCTGGCGCCGGAATGGCTAACGAACTCCGCCATCACCGACAAGGCGGACGTGTACAGCTTCGGAATGGTGCTGCTGGAGATCGTGAGAGGGCGGAAGAACCGCAAGGAACAGCTCTGGACAGAGCCGAGCGGTTCGTGTGGCTCGTCCACGCCGGAGACGTACTTCCCGATGGTGGCACTAGAGATGCACGGGAGGGGGACGTACGAGGATTTGGCCGATCCGAGGCTGGAAGGGAGGGTGAACGAGCCGGAATTGGAGAGGGTAGTGAAGGTGGCGCTGTGCTGTCTGCACCGAGAGCCGGCGCAGAGGCCGAGCATGACGAAGGTAGCCGCGATGCTGGAGGGAACGATGCTGGTCCCCCATCCGAGGTTGGAGTCCCTCGACTTCTTGAGGTCGTACGGGAGGGGATTCGGGGATCCGAATGCGAGGAGAGGGTGTGGGCCGAACTCCACAAGCGCCGGCAGCGGGTCCTCTGCTTCGCCGCTGCTCTCTTACGTGTCGTCACAGGAGGTGTCGGGACCGAGATAGCACGCAAACTGTGGAAGCCATATCCTATCCTACCTTCGCGATCACGGATCACAATATAGATTTTAAGCATCATGTAGTTATCACATCTTGAATTTATTATAAATATTTTATTATAATTTATTTTATTTATCAAAATATAAGTAAAAAATAATCTTATATTTTATTATAAATATAGTAATATTAGCTCAAAAATAAAATTTAACCTCTAACTAGCAGTAGAGGTAAGTATATGCTCCATCGAAATTCGATCTTTAGTATTATTGGGAGATTGTTGAGTAGAAAATTTTAATATTAAATCATCAACACCGAAATCTCATAAGTTATCTGTAAAATAAATAAATAAATAAATATATATATATATTCAAAATTTAATTAATCTTATTAGCTTATATGAAATGATGGAAAGAGCACTTTCCTCAACGAGAAAAATACTTTATACTAAAGAATTAATTTTTTTTCTCAAATAAACAAACTTACATGGTATTTCTAATAGTAGATGGAATAGTATTCCTCACCATATATTTCTCTCAATAATGGAAGGGAATCATTCGTTAAGTCGTCACATTTAATGGTCTACTTACCCTTAAAACATCTAATCATTATCATTGAATCATTAAAATATAATAAATAGTAGTTAATAAGAAAAATAAAATTACATAAGAGAGTAAATAATTTTTTTTAATCAACTATTATATAAGTTTAATAGAAATTAAGAATTACAACTAGTATCATGCAAGATAAAAATTTTAGAAATTATATACAGCATGAATAATTATAATATACTTTAATCCAAAAACTTTAAACACTTGAAGGAACATAAGAAAATTTTAAAATACATATAGTATGAATAATTATAATATATTTTAATATAACATAAAATTTTAAAGATGTGCAGGAATAGAAGAAAAAATTTATTTTTTAGAAAAGATAAAAAAACCTGAAATGAAATAAAGGAATCCATTCCTTTGAACAGGAGGAGATGAGCCTTCCACCTAATATATTTTTAGAATTTTTTATTATAATTATTTAATCTTTTATTTTTTTATTTAATTTATTAATAACAATAACATCACTTGACTTAGAAGGTTAAATATTTATTTTTTAAAATTTATTAGTAAAAAATAAATAAATATATTTAAATCGAGGGATTTGACCACAGTAGTTATATTCGATTCAAAGCTAATCTGTGTTTCAGTCGTGTAGACATTGTTTGACACAAAATTATCTCACTTTATTTGTCTTCTTCACCAAGCAAACATAACCAACGAGCTTACAAGTCATGTACTTCGCTTTCTTCCAGCAAGGTTGCAGAATTTGTGGGCAGTGAAGCACTTGCACAAACATATATGAATAGCCATCATATGTATATATGTCATGTATGCGAATACTACCTGCTTACAGTGGGCATGATCCGATGGGTGTGGTAGTAAAAAATTGCTTGGTCTTAGAAACTTGGGATGTGAGTCACCACACAAGTCAATGACGAGAACTGTGATTTGGACATGCACGAAGATTTCCACTTTATTCATGACATAATTGCTGAGTCGAGATCCTACGAAGACTACATAAACCGCATATGTATTGTAGTATTAGTAAAATGAGTCAAATGTATGCAAGTCTTTTATACAATGATACTTTGCTATTCTAGTAGGGTAGGATAAACTATACTACTAAAACAAGCACATGTACATGACGAATTAGTAGAATACAGTATAATATATACACTATAGTGAAGTATTAGTAAATTGCAACATACTGCCATTACTACATGTCTGGTTGCTATATCACATCAATAGCTTTCATAAAGTAGGTTTGAATTTATTAAAGGGATAAAAGAATTAAATCCATAGGTTATTGCAAATTGCTTTTTGTTGTTTGTCTTTTTGATGACAGAGTACCGTGGTTTACGTACAAGATTGAAATTTTATCTTCATAAGTAAAGTAGATTGATGAGTTGATAGGATTTGTTCATCATCAAAGGTGCAAGGTCATCCGGGTATCTTTTTACGTGAGAGATTTGGTGAGGTGAAATCGTATGGGCCGATTAGAAGCGGACCTATTAGTGTGGACTCAGTTCAGAGTGATCGGGTAAACGGTCTAGAATCTTCTTGATGGTAAGATTTCCTCTCAAGGTCGGGTCATCCGGGTGTCTCTGAAAGATTATTTGTCTTATGATTACATGATTGTATCCTGATAACAGGATTGTCTTTTGATCGTTGACAATCCTACATAACCCTCGACGATGGCTTCTTTGATACTTAAGTTAGCAAAGGGAAGAAGACAGTAGTATAAATTATAAGATTGAGTTAGTGTATAGAGAATTACCCCTTTAACATGAGTTAATGAATTTTTTTTTATATTTGATCGTTAGGTTTTCTTATTAACCGATTTGGAATAAGGGGATTAGATGAACTGTTTGATCACTGTTCTTGATAAGGTAGGACGATTATCGTCAATCATTGATGCGGTATATATCGGGACACACTATCATGTCATTTTGGGGCTAGTGATCTGGAGCCTTACTTAGATGTTAGCTTCGGTGGCAAATGAGTTAGCATTAGATTAATTCAAATTAATTTGTCTTTGAAAGCAAACATAAAAGACTTAAATCGTACCGAACCGTTATATCCGATCCGATATGAAAAATCGATGTGTGTTTCTTTGCAAGACACTTTGGCTTATATCAGATCAGATCGAAATTAACGTTATCCAACGTTCCCAATGGAGTACCTAAGAATGGACGGCTCTGATGAAATATGTTCCGATTTGCTGTCTCCGCCCTATTAATGTCTTTCCCCGACCCGTCCCAAATCCCCAAATAGTAGCGGAGAGGGGAGGAGAGGGGCGTCGGACGAGCGAGCGAGCGAGCGGCTTCACCACGGCCACCGGCATCGAGTGTGCGAGGGGAGACGCGAGGTAAGCGCGTTTTGTGAGCGCGTGATCTCTATGGCCTATTCTTCCTCCTCATATTGTTTACCCCTTCTCTCGTTCCTTTTTCGCTTCTCGGCCGGCCACCGGCGGAGAACTAAAGAGGAGAAAGAGGAAAGCTGTTTGGTTCAACAAACCGGAAATGCAAAAAACGATTATTATGCGTTGTGTGATCCTCTGCAGGAGAGTGAGAGGTTTTGAGAGTGCTGTAGAAGAGGGAGAGATAGAGAGACTGAGATATAGCAATAAAAGAACCGTTCTTGAGGGAACTAAGAGTGAAAGAAAGGGAGAATTGTGATTAAGAGAGGGAGAGAGAGTTAGAGATAGCGTCTCTCGCTCTACCTGATCTGTGCGCTTGCGACCGTCATCATGGCTAACAAGCTCGTGGTCAGTGTTTTTCTTTAATATTCTTTTGTTTTCCTGGATGAAGCTTTTGCAGTTCAATTTGTGTTTATTTATTGAGGATGTTTGGATTGTTTTTTTTTAGGTTCTCGGAATCCCCTGGGATGTGGATACGGAAGGGCTGAGACAGTACATGAGCAAGTTTGGTCCTTTGGATGATTGTGTCGTCATGAAGGTTGATCTTTTTTGTGCTCCACCATCTGAAATTATATTGCTTTATTGGTGTAGCTCATTTGATTTCTGATAGATCAGGTTACTTATATATGGTTTTACTTTCTCATTTTCGCTTCTATTGGTGGAGTGGGAGATTTGTTGCTATGTTTAACTTCTAGAGTTCCATGGCCTTCCCTTGAGTGGGATTATCCATGGTACTTGAACTGCATGTTCTTTTTCTGTATCAACTCTTTTTTTGTGCTCGTCAGTTCAGTAATACTTTTTCCTTCATGGAAGAAGAAATTTTGCTTTTGCTCCATGATTTCATTTATCTCTCCTTATGTCTCTTAAATTACATTATCGCTTAAATGGATGTCAATTTTCCTTTTTTTTTTGTCAGTTCTTACTGATGCATGGTTAGATAAGATGTGCAATTATGTGTTTATTGTAATTGCATGCCTTTCTATGATTTCCCTCTGGGAAACAATTTGTTACATTTTAATTTTGGAAATATAATTGTGGTGATACTGTACTCTGAAATCAAGATTTCCAATGTTTTTGAAATTTTTTTTCAGGCCTCGAGGAGAAGGGTTATAATTAGATTGCCATCTTTTTATTTTTCTTTCTTGCAAGTAAACATGCTGTTTTCAGAGGGGAAAAAAAACAACAAAAAGTAAACATGCTGTTTTCAGAATGCAAACTTTGAAATGAATAGTCAACAGAAAAAAGTATGAATACAGTTCTATAAGTTGTTTATGCACTTAATTGACAAAAAATACTTTTTCTGTTTGAGTTCTGACTTTACGGAAGTTTAAACACAAAATTCTTTTGTATTTTCCATGTTATTTTTATTCTATATGTATGTATGCATGTAACTGACAGAACGGAGAAAATAACATGTGGAAACTTTATGGATTTAGTTTTGACTTTGCTTTTTTTGGGAATCATTCTGAAGGCTAAAATAGGTATCCTGTGCAGGATCATGTGACTGCAGAAGGTAGCTATAGTGTACATTTTGGCTTCATGACCAATTAAATTGAGAATTCTTGATCAGAATTATATTGTTGAAAAACTAGGATTCCTCAAAAGATGTTGAAGCACTAGGAGAAATATGTATTGGATTTGAAAAGTAGTTCTGGATTCTATTAGCACAAACACTTGGTTCTCTCTAATGTTCTCTTTTATTTTCCTTGTATAATTATATGGTGTTTGATTTTCTGGCTTTCATTTGAGTGGATTATTTTTCAAGTCATCAATAATGGTTCTTGTAATTTTTTAAACATCAGGAGCGTTCTACTGGTCGTTCTCGAGGTTTTGGCTATGTAACTTTCTCATCAGAGGAGGACGCTAAGGTGAACATAATCCGATCCTGTGTGTTTGCTTTAATTTTTATAAAGATTTCAGAAGTATATCTCTAAACAGTAACTTCTGCTGATGCTTATAAAATATGACTATACTCTTTGGGGGCTGCTTTATTATACTTTTTTATCATTATTACTTTCTTATATTCATCAGTGACCTTTAAGAACAAAAAAGTAAATACTCAGTGGGAATTTGTAGCTTTTTTATGTGATTACGGTGCATGGTAATTAGTGCTTAGAGTTACTAGTTAATAACAAACACCCGATAAACA